GAAGCTTGGGCAGTCGGCAGCTTAGGAGGAGGAGCAGGAGTTTTCGATGTCTTCAAACTGGACGCTCCTTTTGCTGGCTTCGAAGCCTCACCCTTAGGAGCAAGACCAGCCTTCGACTCAGTCTTCTTCGTCTCAACTTTGGGTGCTTCCGCCTTTTTCCCACCAGCCTTCGTCCCTGTCGCCCTCGCCGCCACTGTTGCCGTCTTAGCTTCAGGCTCTGATGCTTCACCCCTCTTGACATCAATACTCAAACCTCCCACTTTCTTGGTTCCAACTTTCACCATCTCTGACTTCTTAGGAGGAGCAACTGCTTTCGAGGTCTCACCCTTCGCCTGCTCCTTAACCGACTTCGCAGCCGGTTGAACGACAGCCGCGGCAGCACCCAACAACATCTTCTTCCTGCGCTCCACAAGACGCTCTTCTCGACGAACCTTCGCCTCGCGTTTGCGTTGACGCATCGCCTCGGCTTGATCACTCAACTGCTTGGCCCGAAGACGTTCCGACTTCTTCTTATGGATGTGATCAATAAGGATGCGCTTGTTCTTAAAAATATTACCCTTGCACTGCTGATACAAGTGATGGTACCTAACCGACACAAACGCCAACGTCATGAACAAATATTATACAATGGAACAGCTATACTGAAGCCATTTTAAGACTCACAAGTGCTTATCGATCTTGTGAGAAGCCCTGTAACGTTTCAAAAGGCGGCGCAGTACCCGCATTCTGCGCATCCAAAGCACCTTCTGAGGCATACGAGCATCTGCCGTACCTTTCCTCTTCCCCACGCCAGTATGCCGACCAAGTCGCCTAGCGATAAGCTGACGCCTTGCACGCGAGCGCGAATGCACAGTCACAGGCTTCCTAATTATCAAATTATCCTTGTAGAGCTTGCGGATAAGCTTCCTAGAATTAGCCGACGCGATGGTCGAGTTCTCATTCGGATCCAGCCAGATTTTCTTCTGACCACATCCCAGCACAGCGGCCGCAAGCCGCTTCTGACAACCCAGTTGGCTACAAATGTGCACAAGCTCACATCAGCTACATTTTACAGAGTCGAAATACACTCACAAAGCCTACGCTCACCTCATCCCAACCTGTCACGAATGTCACGCTGCCAAACGTAGTGGTTGCTTTAAACAACATCCATCGTGAAATTGGCCTGACCAACGACAAGCAGGTCCCGCTGTTTCAGCCAGCATAATGAAAACTCTACAAATACAATATTAATCTCCAATTTTTTTAGCACTTAAACTTTTTACAAAAAAGTCCCTATACATCAACGCATTTGTCAACGAAGTCAGAAAATATCTTCGGTCAATTTCGTGATAAGCGAAGCGGTCTGCCTCACCAATTTCGTACAGCGTATTATGCCTTGCTGGCAAAATTGCACGAATCGCACCTTTATTGACGTACGCTGTGCAGTTTCGTCCGCCGGCAAAGCTTTAGGTTAATCTGTCAGGCTCCAACAAAGCATTGTGGGTTTCGCATCATTGATGCGCCGAAACTTACACTTACTGTCATATTTACTTGTAGTTACTGCCTGTCTACCCTCTGGTCCCTGGTTCTCAGACTTTAAGAGGAAGTTGGT